TCTTGAACCTGAGATATTTAGGTGTATTATATATGTTCATATTCCTAAAGTTTTGCGATCTAAGCTTGATCCGTGTGCCAAAAGATGTGTTTTTGTGGGTTATTCTGATTTTCAAAAGGGATACAGGTGTTATGATCCTCAAACTCACAGGTTACATGTCACCTTGGATGTCTATTTCCAAGAATCTGAGCCTTTTTATTCAAGGAGAGTTTCCATGTCTTCCCTTCAGGGGGAGAATGGTGGAGAAGGGAACACATTGCAAGGTACTCAAGGAGATAGAGCAGAAGTAAATTTGCTGGATAAAGAAGTTAATTTTAATTTCTTGGACCTGGAAGAAGCGAATCATGAAGGGCTGGAGGAAAGTGTCAGTGTAGAAAACAATCTTCATGGAGAGGAGCAACCTGATGAACAACCTAGTAGTACAATTCTCCCTACTTTAACACCATTAACTGAGGGATCTTTTCAGAATGTTCCCAATGATAATTCTCAGGTAATTTTGAATCCAACCTTTGAAAATTCTCATAGTGAATCCTTTATTATTCCTGAAAATTCTGTTTCTAGGTACCCACAAAGATCAAATAAAGGTGTTCCGAAAAAACAGTATGTACCTAATCTCAAAACCAATGTCAGATACCCTGTTGCTAATTATGTCTCTTTCCTGAAATTGTCTAAGACTTATGCACTTATTGTTAATCAATTATCCAGTGTATCTATTCCTAGAAATGTGCAGGAAGCATTAGGCGACCCAAGATGGACCAAGGCAATGAATGAAGAGATGGAAGCTCTACAAAGAAATTCTATGTGGGAACTTACTCCTCTTCCAAAAGGAAAAAGACCAGTCGGATGTAGATGGGTTTACACTGTAAAACTTAAATCTGATAGGAGTATTGACAGGTATCAGGCGAGACTAGTTACAAAGGGTTATACACAAAGATATGGTGTGGATTACCAAGACACCTTTGCACCAGTAGCTAAGCTGGATACTATTCGCATTCTTATTTCGATAGCAGCAAATCGGGGATGGCCTTTGAAGCAATTTGATGTTAAAAATGCCTTTCTCAATGGGGAGTTAGAGGAAGAGGTGTACATAGAGCTACCGCCGGGTATAAAACTTGATTTGTCAAAAAGAGATAGAGTTTGCAAATTGAAAAAATCATTATATGGGCTTAAGCAGTCACCTAGAGCTTGGTTTGGAAGGTTTTCTATGGCAATGAAATTGTTTGGTTATAAACAAAGTGGTGCAGATCATACCTTGTTCATAAAACACAAAGGAGGAAAAGTGACAGCGTTAATTGTATATGTAGATGATATGGTTTTGACTGGTGATGATTATGAAGAAATGAGACTTCTACAAAATTATTTGGCTGCTGAATTTGAAATGAAGGACTTGGGAGAACTTAAATAATTTCTGGGTATTGAAGTAGTGAGGACTGATCAAGGAATTGCATTTTCCCAAAGGAAATATGTACTGGACTTGTTGACTGAAACTGGAATGCTAGCATGCAAACCAGCTGAAACTCCTATAGAGATGAATCATAAGCTTGGAATTTTTCATAATCAAGCTCCAACCGACAAAGAACGTTACCAACAGTTAGTGGGAAAGTTAATTTATTTATCTCATACTAGGCCAGATATAGCTTATGCAGTAAATGTGGTTAGCCAATTTATGCATCAGCCAAGTGGAAAACACATGGATGCAGTATGCAAAATCTTGAGGTATTTAAAAGGTTGTCCAGGAAAATGCTTGTTCTTCTCAAAGAATAATGGCTCCGTTTGGTTCATAATTTTGTGTTTTTGGGAAAAGTTTTTTGAAAAAAGTAAAAAAAAAGTTGAATTGGGCGGGTATTACGATGTAGGATTTATAAATTAATAAAATACCCTCTATGTTTATTTTTTTACAAAATACCCCCTATAATAAAACATTAAAAGTTAACAAAAACACCCCCAACCCACCCTCAAATATGGACAGCAGGCCACCACCGTCGAAGGGTGGCCGGAGTCACTGTATCGGTGCATGACCGGCTGGATCTTACCGGTTGTACACCGATATGGCCTTTTCCGGCCAGATCTATGGCTAGATCTGGCCATTGACAGCCAGATCTGGTCGGATCTTGCCGGTCGTGCACCAATATGGCATTTTCCAACCAGATCTATAGCTAGATCTGGCCATTGACGGCCAGATCTGGCCGTATTTGCTATTCAACGACGGCCAACAAATGGTCGTTGTTGACCATCAACAACGACCATTTGTTGGCCGTCGTTACCGACTGGTTACGACCAAAGATCGCTAGAAAAGGCTAGATCGGCGCACTACCAGCCAGATTCAGCAGGTAGTGCGCCATCTTACCAGATTCTGGCTATTTTCCGGTAGTGGTGGCCGGAATCTGGTAAATGTGGATTGTTGGGGTGTTTTTGTAATTTTAAAAAAAATATTTAGGGGTATTTAATTAAATTAACAAATTTAAGGGGTTTAAAAAAAGTTGAATAATATTGTAAGTTTTTGGGTATTTTACTGTTTAACTTTTTTGAGAATACTAAAAGTAGTATTCTCAAAACCCAACCAAACGAAGCCAATGTTTCTAATATCGAAGGATATACGGATGCAGATTGGGCTGGTGATCAAACAATTAGGAAATCCACATCTGGTTATTTCACTTTTGTGGAAGGAAATCTTGTAACTTGGAAAAGTAAAAAACAAAAGGTAGTTGCTAGGTCAAGTGCAGAAGCTGAGTTTAGAGGAATGGCTTATGGAATTTGCGAATTACTCTGGATTAAACGTGTTCTATCAGATTTGGGAATTAAGAGTGCAGGCCCTATGAACCTTTATTGTGATAATAAACCTTCCATTAAGATTGTGGAGAATCCTGTACAACATGATCGAACTAAACATGTTGAAGTCGATAGGCACTTCATCAAAGAGAAGCTAGATCAGAAGATTATACAATTTCCGTTTGTAAAGTCTGAAGAACAACTTGCTGATGTTCTTACAAAAGCAGTTTCAAAGGATGCGTTTCATGATGTGATCAGCAAGTTGGGTATGGTGGATGTGTATACCCAACTTGAGGGGGAGTGTGGACGTGAGCTGGTATCCTAGAGATATTTTAAACCATGTAAATCACGCATCTAATTCTTAGGAGAAATTATAGGAGATTTGTATGGTATTTTCCTTATGTAGAATTCTTCCTAGAATAGGATTCTTCTCTGCTCTGTTTTCCTATTCTGTTCCTAGAATATTTGTATATATATTCTACCTCCATACGTGAGAAGAATACATTGGAATCTGTTGATGCTCGGTTTAAGCACCAACGAATTCTCACATGCGTAACGTTGATTGGCTGCTAAATGCACGTGAAAATGGAATATCTAAAGCGAAATAAATGCAAAAGGGGTTTTTAAGTGGTTCGGATGCTGAGGTAGTAAGTCCTACGTCCACTGATTTGTATTGATGTTAGTGTGGGTCAGGTCGCGACTGCGGGCTGACTTACATAAGTTAAAAAAAAGTAAAAATGTTTACAGGAGAGAGAGAGATATTTGTATGAAAAATGGCCGAATCCCCTTAATGAAGGGGTCTTCTTCATTTTATATCAAATTGAAGCGTATAATCATCATTAAATCCATGGTTTGGTGTGATTGTCAGGATATAATCCAGCTTTACGTCCCATTTTCCTTTTCCCAAGCTGACATCGCACGACTTATTGCAGGGAAATGGACGCGTGTGAGCTCCATATCATTTGGCAGGTCTGACGTGGGCGTGTTGCTCTGACGGGAGCAGGTCACCCTTCACGTGACTTTCCCACGTCAGCCCTTTATTTTCCCGGGCATAACAGAATCTATTAAAACCAAGTATCTCTGTTTACAGGAATCGCAATGTGTGAAGAAAACAACTGAAGCTAAGCAATTAGAGAAGGAGAATATAGGACTGCAAGGCCAGATTTCAAAATTTAAATTGATATCAAAAGAGAGTAAAAATGAGATGAGTGATCTGCAAAAAAAACGAAGGATAATGAGAAAAATTTAACATCTAAAATCGAGGACTTGAAGGCACAGGTTAGCTATCTGCAATCGGAGCTACCGAGCTAGATTCTTCACGTGCTTCAGAAAACAAAGCAACAGGTCTCGTCAAAGGCTTAACGGATCAGATCAATATAATGCAACGAGATTTAGATTTGCTACTGGACGAGCGTCCATCTTCTTCTTCCTCTTCCTCTTGTTTGTGGAAGTATATTGTTATTTTCAGTTTGTATCCTTCGCATATAGTCTTCGAGTAGTTGTAAGCTGATAATATATTATGATTTCTTCTATGCTTCTGGTGTTTTGGCAAATATGTAATGTTCAATTTCTATTTCTGTCAACTTGTGTTAACTGGAGTGCAGAGTTTCAAAACTGTGTAACATAAGAAAGATACTTTGCATGGGATTGAAGCAAAGGAAATTGGTTTTAATTTAGAAGCAAAAACATGAAGCAGGTATATGGACATTTTTGCTTTTAAATTTTTTTGGATGGGCATCCATATAATATGAACGAGAGTCCATTAAATATGAATGGGCGTCCATAAATTATGGACGGCCGTTCGTGATTTTTTTGCTTTTAAATTTTTTTGGACGCCTGTCCATAGTAAATAGACACCCGTCCATATAATATGAACGAGAGTCCATTAACTATGAGCGGGCGTCCATAAATGTTGGATGGCTATGAATGATGTTGGACGGCTGTTCATTCACAAAAGACTCAGCGTGGTCACGTCTGACTGGTTGTCATGTCCTTCGGTACAAAAATTTAGTGTAAAATTTCGGTGTCCGTAACATTACTCATATAATATATTGAAGCAGATTAGATAATACTTTTAAATAATATTTTAGATTAAGGTGTACTAATGTATAAAGATATGATATTAGAATATATTATTGTTATGTTTTGTAAGTTGAAATTGTCTTAAAACTAATGTTTGGTTTGGCCTAGAGGTTGTTACGTGGGATCAAATTTAAATGTGCTTAGCGTAAACTTAAGTGGATAATTACCCATATAAACTCATAAGTGTAAAGCTTACAGGTGTTAAGGTTACACAAACTGATTTATAAGGTTAGTTAACGGGGCTTGATTCTTTGCACAAACAAGTCGAAATTATAAAAGAAAGATAATACAATCATAAGTTCTAATCAACGTAACCATAAGTACGCAGATACGCTTCTGCCTAGTGCCTAGCATATTCAAAACACTTAGAAAAAACTTAGTCAACATCCTCGATCTTGACACCACCCATGGCATAGCTCAGGAAAGCTTCATCATCAATGCCAACTTCAATGTCACCATCGTCTTCCGAAAGAATTTCAAAAACTGGGCGGCAAATTATTTCAAGCTCCTGCTTCTTGTCCTCGTAAATGTTTGCCTCAACAACTTCGTCTCTTTCATTAAGCCACTCAATGACACGATTAATATCACCCAAAATCTTCTTCTTCTTACCAGCAGGGAGCTTAGATGTTATCTTCTCAGACTTGACAATGTGCCTCATATGGCTGACATAACCCTCCAAAGAAAGCTTGGCCTCAACTTTCTTTTTATACTCTTTATCTTCAGCCTCGTACTTCTCTGCCTCCTTAACCATCTTCTCAATTTCATCCCTAGACATCCTTCCCTTATCAATGGTGATTGTAATCTTGATCGTCATGCCAGTGGTCTTGTCCTCAGCTGAGACATTCAGGATTCCATTTTCATCAATTTCGAAGCAGACATTGATCTGAGGAAAACCCCTTGGAGCGGGTAGAATACCGAAGAGACTGACTCTTCCCAAAAAATTGTTATCCATAGTTCTTGCTCTCTCACCCTCATAAACGTCGATCCTGACTACAGATTGAAAATCTGCGCATGTTGAGAACACCTTTTCTTTCTTTGTGGGGATTGTAGTGTTCCTTGGGATTAGAACAGACATGATACAACCTCCAACTTCAACTCCAAGAGAAAGAGGGGTAACGTCCGTGAGGACGAGTCCCTGCATAGTCTCATTACCCTGACCACTCAATAGGGCAGCCTGAATTGCAGCACCGTAAGCAACAGATTCATCTGGGTTAATGTTTTTACAAAGGTTTTTTCCATTGAAGAAGTCCTGCAATAGCTGCTGCACTTTCGGAATCCTGGTTGAACCACCAACAAGGACTATATCATGGACACTATTATTGTCCATCTTAACATCACTCAAACAATTATCAACCTGAGTAATACACTTGCTGAAGAGATCCATGTTGAGCTCCTCAAATTTGGTACGGCTAATATTTGAATGGAAATCAATTCCCTGAAACAAAAAATCAACATGAATTGAAGTTTGAGAAGTGAATGAAAGAGTCCTCTTGGCCCTCTCGCACGCAGATCTCAGTCTCTGGAGAGCTCTAGGTTTTTGACTGACGTCTTTCTTATACTTCTGCCTGAACTCCTTAACAAAGTGATCTACCAGGTTGTTATCAAAATCCTCACCACCGAGATGGGTGTCTCCAGCAATGGCCTTCACTTGAAAGGTATCTTTATCAATGGTAAGCAAAGACACATCAAAAGTACCGCCCCCAAGATCGAAAATCAAAACATTTCTTTCACCGGCACCGGAATTCTTCTTGTCGAGACCATAAGCAATGGCTGCAGCAGTGGGTTCATTGATGATTTTCATAACATTTAGTCCAGCAATTTCACCAGCATCCTTGGTGGCTTGACGCTGGGAGTCATTGAAATAGGCAGGAACCGTGATAACTGCATTCTTCACCGTTGAACCATGAAAATCTTCGGCAATCTGACGCATTTTGGAAAGTATCATGGAAGAAACTAATTCAGGAGCCAACTGCTTCTCTTCCCCCTTGCTTTTGATCACAATCATTGGCTTTCCACCATCTCCATCAACGACCTTGAAAGGCCATAACTTCATATCTCTCTGGACTGATTCATCGTTGAATCTTCTACCGATCAACCTCTTTGCATCTACAATGATAACGTACAATATTGTAGGATGAAGCATTGTAACAATATAAAGGTTAAATTCATGTTGAAGATGAAAATAAAACTACTATCTTATTCTAATTCAATAAAGCTAAACCAGAGAAAATGTAAAAAATTCTTACCATAAACGGTGTTCTTGGAGTTCATGTCAACCTGGTTCTTTGCAGCGTCACCAATAAAACGCTCCTTATCAGTAAACGCCACATAAGACGGCGTCGTCCTGCTGCCTTGATCATTGGCTATGATCTCCACTCTGTCATTCTTCCACATAGCCACGCATGAGTATGTAGTCCCTAGATCAATTCCGATTGCAGGTCCCTCTTCCTTTGCAGCCATTATTTCTAAGAGATTGCTCTTTAATGTGAAGAAAATTAAGAAGAAAATAGAACGTCAAAGAAATTTGTATTTCTGAATGGCTGTGTAATTCTTTTTAAGTGACGGGCTCAGTATATATAGATATTCGGATATTACTTCTTCGTTAAGTACTCAATGAATCGCGTGCACTTCAGTCGTCTTAAGTGTTATCTATAATTAAAAACTGTGTAGAGGATATTGATATGACCAGCAACTTATTTCCGAAGGGATTCTTCTTTTACTGAGAAGAATCCCACTACAGCAAACTTTTATCTCTTTCCACCTCTAAAATCATTATGCCCCTCCTCATCGAAACCTTAGGGTGCACTTTGGTTAATTACTCTATACATTTTAGGATAATATTTTGATAAAAAGTAAAATTAGATAGGTACTACGACATCAGATTTAAAAATTATCAAAAATATCTCTTATATTTATTTATTTACTAAACACTCCTATAATAAAATATTAAAAATTAACAAAAACACTCTCACCCATCCATTAAATACCGATAGCCGACCACCACCACCAGAGGGTGGCTAGAGTCACCATATCAGTGCGTGACCGATTGGATCTAGTCGGTTATGCGTCGATTTAGTCTTTTTCGATCAGATGCATGGTAGATTTTGCCTAAAAAAGCAAGATCTACGATTAGATCTAGCAATTGATGGTCAGATCTGACTGCATTTGGTTGTCAACGATGGCCAAAGATATGACCATTGTTGATGGTCAACGATGGCCATATCTTGGCCATTATTGACGACTGGCTACGGCCAAAGATCTAGCATTTTCCTGCCAGATCCATAGTGGATTTGGTCGGAAAAGGCTAGATCAGTGCATTACCAGTCATATCCAGCCTGTAGTGCGCCATTATACCAGATTCCAACTAGTTTTTGACGGTGGTGGCCGGAATCTGGCAAATGTAGGTTGCTGGTGTGTTTTTATCAATTTCTAAATTTTTTTTGGGGGTATTTAGTTAAATTAATAAATCTAGGGGGTTTAAAGGAATTGAATAATATTTTGAGAATAAGGGAAAAAATATGTATTTTTGATAGAATAAGGAATAGAATATTGAAAAATTGTGTACCAAAGGGGCCTTTAATTTCTATCTTTATTTACTTTTAGAATATTGTTCATCACTTTTTAATCCTATCTCCCTTTCTTTTTTCTCGTTTGGTACTGAAAATGCTTTATTTTACATGTGTTGGATGTGGTTTATATTTTGCAGGGATTATCTGCATACACTAAACCACTCGGAAATTACTTTTATTTATTGTAATAGTGGGAAAAACCTAATATGAAAAACACTTGAGAGAGAGGAGAGAAAGAGTGAATTGCAGTCATTTACTGTGTATTTGTTGCAGTACTCAACAAAAAAATTTCTATCTTGAATACTGAACGTAGTTCCTATATTAAAAATGAATCATGATAAATCATGTATTTTCTTTATTTTTCTGTTTCATTTGAATCATTGTTAGGGCCAAAAATAATCCTCGGCCCAAATGGGAAAACGAGTCTGACAATGAGAAAAAGACCAGACCCAATCCCGATGTGGTCCAATCTGAAACTCGTCGAATTAGGCCCATTTGATACGAGGTACAGTCGGCCCAAACCATCTGGACACAAGCCTCCTAATCCTAGTTCACTTCTTGGATATGTGAACGAATTCAGAGCCCACGGCCACCTACGGATCACATTCATATTCGAACACTGACAAAGTAGTCCACTATCACCCCAACTCCTCCAAGGTCCATGTCAGAGCCATACTTGGATTCCCTTTCACGCTAGGATAAGGGGATCAAAGGATATATCGCTGGAGGAAACGAATTGCTACGAGGACTCCCAATCCTACCAGGATTGGGAGACCAGACAGTCACTATTTAAACAGAGGCCAACCCTTTCACAAGGCAGATTACACTACACATTCAGACCCCGGAGTTTCCGCTTGAGAACTTTAGATCACAGTCATAGTCACAGTCCCCGACTAGACTTTTGGTAACCTCTCTACTTCATAGTCCTCACTAAATTAGCCTCTTTCAGTCTTGCTGACTTAAGCATCAGAGTGCCTACGACAAACACCACCCCGGATGTTTTCCATCACTTCACGTTTGTTTCTCTACGTGTGCAGGTGTAGCAGATCACTAGTGACCTTAACCTCACAGAATCAGACCCTGCTTTTGTGCAGATAGACGTTTTTATGTCTACGATCATGATAAATCATGTATTTTCTTTATTTTATTTTCAACATCATGTATTATTAAAGAGGTCATATCATGGTGTTTCTCCAAAAATATAAATAAGAGTGATACATAGAAATGGTTGAATTAAATGTAAGAGTGCGAAATCTTTAATTAATTGTCGGATTCAAACCGTCTTGTCTGATCATATAGTACAGCTTCATGCATTCCATTGAGTAGGACATTTTTACTTTGCTTTTTTGTTGCCTTATTGAAGAGGGTAGCTTCAAGAGGAAGAAGCTTAATTTCATATTGATGAATATCATGAATTAATTGAATTCATCCCACAAAAAATCTTAATTGAATTCATACCTGCAATTTCAATTTCAGACATTGTCAATTAATTAATTAATGCATATGACAAAGACGGCCGCGTAGATATCGCGGAACTTATTGATAAATGATGTAAATTAAGTGGGCTAAAAACCTAAATTAATTTACGACAACAAAACTCTTCCACTGCAAGCTCAAAAATCAATGAAGTCTAGCAAGTAGCCGCAATTTCATTCAATAGAAATCAAGGTCACAAGTGGGGTTAATGTATACACGTACAGCTCATATTATTCAAGTAAATGTCGATTGTCCAACAAATTAATTAATGCAGCCAACAATCTCAGGCGATCAAAATTTTAAATGCTCTTAAATGCATGGAAACTGACTTGAGATTTTTTCATTTTTTTAGTAATACTGTCAAACTTATATTCAATACATATTACTAACATGGAGAAAGTGAGAAATGTTATCATGAACAAGATGAAAAGAAACAAGCACACTACTCTTGGTTTATAATTTTTGAAGGGTTTATGGAAATTGTATAAAATTGCATATTAAAAGTAAAAGAAAAAGCAAAATCTTTAGAGAGGTAAAGCTGATATCATTTTAGATTATTGTATGTCCAAGTTTTCCTTTACTTAATGTCTTGGAAGCTAGTGACTAGATTTTTTTTTTCCAGAATTGAAAAGTAAACAATTTAAAACTCTTTTTACTAATAATCTAGAATCATATATATTTTTTTTATGTAAAATAAAATTTTAAAAACCCTAAATATAGGGGCATAATATAGGAAAACCTTAGATATGAGATTAATATAAGCATTAATATTAGAAATATGATCTTTTAATTTAAATACTTTTACAAAGATACATATGCAAAGTAAAGCCTACATATAATTTAATTCCTTAAGGAACTCGCTGTGTTCTTTGCAGTGTTTTTCAAGTTCTCCTACTAAGGAACTCGCTGTGTTCTTTGCAGTGTTTTTCAAGTTCTCCTACTAATGCCTCAAGTCAATGGTTTGGCGTAGAGCAACCACGTAGAAGACATGAGCTTTAGCATATCAACAGCTTCAGCTGTTTTTCTCCAAGAAATAAGGGCATAAAGAATAGCACATAACAACACAAAGGTATAATATTTTACGTGGTTCAGTATAACATGTCTATATTCATAGATGAGAGAGATCTACTGTAATTCTATGAGTACGATATAAGTGTTCATCACACCATCAACCTAATACCTTTACATAGACAGATAGTATGTGTTTAGTTAAAGAATTGTGTGTTTCAATTCATTGATTTGCACCCATAGTTACACAGGTGTTTTTATAGGTAGAATATAATCTAATTAATCTCCTAATTATGTCAATTACAATATATTGATATAATTAGGAGATTATAGGATATCAAGTACATTATGAGTATCCTAAAACTAACAAAATTAGGAGATTACAATATATTTAGAAAATATTAAGTAAATCTCAACATCATGTTCTTATGGTGTTTAATATCCTGTGGTATTTTTCTGATACTCGATACCTGTGGCACCCTTACATCAAAAGCCCTTGTATCCTCATATTCTCTCTTTCTCTTGTGACTTCTTTTGTTACATTGAATTGCCCCCTATTTATAGGTGGTATATGGGACATCCAACTTCTAATAGGATTCATGTTTCTATTCCTAATAAAACTCTCATATTTAACTTCATTCTCCTAAACCAATTCTACTTCCCTAATTTGTTTTACAATAGAAAAAGAAAACAATTATTCTCAATTACAGATTTTTAAACTAGAAATTTACCTAAAACTTAAATTCTTTTTTCTTTTTGATTGTCTTTCTTCATCAATTACTAAAAAGTGTTCACATTCCAACGAGAACAGTAAGATGCCATTACAATTTCAGCACCACCAAAGAGATTTGAAGGCAAACCACTGTTGTAAAATTTCACTAACAAGCTCGGAGAATATAACAAACATGAGTTAGCCCATGGAAGCAATGGCTGTACGTGCGTTGTCCATGAAAACATGAATTGGGTTCCCCTGGAAATTGCCCCCATGTATAAGTCTTACTCCCTGAAACATCAACTATTGGATTATCATTCACACAGTTTCTCTCTCTCTCTCTCTCTCTCTCTCTCTCTCAATCATCTTGGTTGCTGCTTAATCACTTCAATCCGAGGCCAAGCCATTGAGGAGATGCTCTAAGAGCTGCCATGTAAAATGTACTCCAATCCATGATAGCTGCAGCTTCAATTTGGCCGGGATGGTTTCAATTTAATTTTTGTCAAGTGATCTGTAAATAACAACTAAATAAATATTATTTTCTTTTATAATTGATCCGTTGTATCCACAATTAATTCTTTTTATGCCCAATAAAAGAATCAAAGTATGCATACCCGAGTATGAATTAAATATTTGTTTGAGGGGATGGATTCCGATTCTTATTCATCTGGGTTAACTTTTAATTTTTCTAAGACGAATGAGCTTTTATTACTATAAAAATTAGTCATTAAGCGTGAAAGAATACACTTAAGAACACAAACAAATGGATAATCAACAATTTGAACATCAATTATTGCCAACAACATGAACATTATTTAATGATTCAGATTATATAATATTATAAACGCGAAATTTTAATATCAAATTAGAATAATAACGATTCGACTAAAAGTACGATCAACCTATCTGTAGAACATTGCTTCACTTAATCTCCCACGCTTTCACATATTTCTGATAATGGGATTGTAGATTCTCTCAAGCTCCTCCATCTTGTGCTGGTAAATATATGCCTCAAGAAGCTCCTCGGTGTCATCGAGCCAATTGATGGCAAGTCCAACGGCTTTCTTTAGCTTCTTCATGTCAGTTGAGTCAAATTGCGAACTGAAATTCTTTTCATATTTGACTCTGTTACGAATTTTGTAGGCAAAATTCTCCAAGGCACGCCTGGCGTCGGCCTTCTTCTTGTACTCCTCATCTTCAGCCTTGTACTTCTCAGCCTCGTTAATCATCCGCACAATCTCAGCCTTGGACAGCCTCCCATTCTCATTGGTGATAGTGATATTTTCAATCTGGCCAGTGATTTTATCCTCAGCTGAGACATTCAAGATTCCATTAGCATCAATATCAAAGCAGACATTCACCTTAGAATCCCCTTTGGGAGCTGGAGGTATGCCATATAAATTGAAACTGCCCAACAGGTTGTTATCTCTAGTTCTTGGTCTCTCACCCTCATAAACGTCAATCTCCATGGTAGTTTGGTTGTCACAGGAGTTGAAGTATATCTTTTCTATCTTAGTGGGAATTGCGGTGTTTCTAGGGATCATAACAGACATATAGCCACCCTCGACTTCTATGCCAAGGGATAGAGGGATAACGTCCAAGAGAGTAAGATCCTTCACCTTCTCATTACACTGACCGCTTAATAAAAGAGCCTGAATAGCAGCACCGTAGGCAACTGCCTCATCTGCGTTAATGTCCTTGCAAAGTGTCTTTCCGTTGAAAAAATCTTGCAATAGCTGCTGCACTTTCGGAATCCTTGTAGAACCACCAACAAGGACTACATCATGGACACTCATTTTATTCATCTCAGCATCATTCAAACATTTCTCAACTGGCTCCAGACACTTCCTGAAGAGATCCATATTGAGCTCCTCAAATTTGGCGCGACTAATATTTGAATAGAAATCAATACCATTAAAGAAACAATCAATCTGAATAATAGTCTCAGTTGTGAATGAAAGAGTCCTCTTCGCCCTCTCACAAGCAGTTCTCAATCTTTGAAGAGCTCGAGGATTTCCACTAATATCTTGTTTGTACTTTCGCTTGAACTCCTTTACAAAGTGATTTACCACGTTGTTATCAAAATCTCCACCACCAAGATGGGTGTCTCCAGCAGTTGCCTTCACTTTAAAGATATCATTATCAATGGTAAGCAAAGACACATCAAAAGTACCACCACCAAGATCAAAAATCAATATATTTCTTTCCCCATAACAGGAGTACTTATTGTCGAGACCATAAGCAATGGCTGCAGCAGTGGGTTCATTGATGATTTTCATAACATTTAGTCCAGCTATTTCACCAGCAACCTTGGTGGCTTGACGTTGGGAGTCATTGAAATAAGCAGGAACAGTGATAACTGCATTCTTCACCGTTGTACCATGATAATCTTCGGCAACTTGCCGCATCTTGGAAAGTACCATAGAAGAGACAAACTCAGGGGCCAACTTCTTCTCTTCACCTTTGTTGTTAATCAGAATCATTGGCTTTCCATCATCAGCAGCAACGACCTTGAAAGGCCATAACTGCATATCTCTCTGGACTGACTCATCTTCGAATCTTCTTCCAATCAACCTTTTTGCATCTACAATGATTAACATGTATCGTAGAATGAAACATTATAACTAAATCAAGGTCAATTTCAAGTACATTTCCTTAAAAAAAATAAACCTATTAAATGAAATCAAACTAGAGAAAGTACAAAACTACTTACCGTAAACGGTGTTACAGGGATTCATGTCAACCTGGTTCTTTGCAGGCTCACCGATAAAACGTTCCTTATCAGTAAACGCCACACAAGACGGCGTCGTCCTGTTGCCTTGATCATTGGTTATGATCTCAACTCTGTCATTCTTCCATACTGCCACGCAAGAGTATGTAGTCCCTAGATCAATTCCGATCGCAGGTCCCTCTTCCTTTGCAGCCATTATTTCTAAGAGATTGCTCTTTAATCAGAAGAAAATTAAGAAGAAAATAGAAAGTCAAAGAAATATGTATTACTTCTTGATTAAGTACTCAATGAAGTCGTTTTAATTATTATCTATTATTAAAGCAACTGTGTAGAGAAAATTGATATGACTAGCAACTTATTTTCGAATGTATTCTTCTTTTACAGAGAAGAATCCCACTACTAACAAACTTTATTTCTTTCCACCTGTAAAATCATTGTCTTCAGGCCCCTCCTCATCGTAACTTTAATTTCTAGCTTTATTTACTTTTAAAACATTGTTCTTCACTTTTTAATCCTATCTCTCGTTTGGTACTGAAAAAGCTTAGATTTTATTGTGTTTTGTTTTATTAATATGAACGATCACACAATATTTTTTAATTTTTAAATAAAAACCAGAATACTATCCTTCCAAAATTAATTAATTCTGTGTTTCAAAATAAAAATTTAGGAAACAGCCCACCTTAGCTAATTAACTCATTAAAAAATTAATTATGTGTAGCCAAATATATTTACTAATTAAATTGGACAAACTTCAGATTTTAAATCTTTGTTAAATTTATCTCCGAAATATAATGGGATATAGTATAGTGGGAAGAAAAAAGTCATGATTGGGTCCGTTTGACACACTACTTTCCCACTATCCTATCCTAAAAACCAAAAAATGCATTTGTTTTGATATTCTCAAAATCCAATTCTATTCTACTCAACTCAAAATATTTAGATTATTTTTAACCTCCCTAGGTTTGTTAATTTAATTAAACACCGCCAATAATAAAAGTTTATAAATTGACAAAAACACTCCCACCCACCCACATATTACTAACAGCTGGCCATCACTGTCGAAAGGTGGCCGAAATCTGCTGGAATGGCGCATGACTGACTGGATCTGTCGGTCGTGCATTAATCTGGCCTGTTCCAACTAGATCCACCATGAATCTGGCTGGAAAAGGCCAGATTTGGTCACATCAACCTTTTTTGGCCATATATGGCTGGATATTTAGCCATCATTTGGCCATCAACGACAACCATATCTAGCCCTTTTTAGCTAGATCCACAGTGAATCTGGCCAGAAAAGGCTAGATCGATGCACGACTGGCTAGATCCAACCGGTTGTGCGCCATTCCGACAGATTTCGGCCAACTTCCTGCGTGGTGGCCGGCTACCTGTAATATGTGGGTGGATAGGTGTGTTTTTGTTAATTTATAAACTTTTACTGTTGGGGGTGTTTAGTTAAACTAACAAACCTAGGAGGTTAAACTTTTATTGTTCGGGGTGCTCCCGGCCTTGTACTCCAACATCAGCTCTCCCTTAGCCCTAATGATGGCGTCATCGGCGATACTGAGGCACTGCTCCCTCAGGGACTCGACCTCTGCATTCTTCTCGGCCAACTCTCTCTTCAGTCGATCCAACTTGGCCTTGACCTCCCTCAGACGCTGCTGGCTCTCCTGCTAGGCTTTCTGGGCCGCCGCCTCTCTTTGTTGTAGATTGACATTGGATTTGAATACATCCTGTATCCTCTTCTCCTGCGACATGATGGACTTTCTTAGGTGCAGGCTGCTGGTGAAAACCTGCATGACAAAACAACTCGATCAGTATACAACCACAAATAACACACTAAGGTAAAAATTTGGCTCATACTTGGAAAGAGCGAGAAAAGCCCCAGCCTGCGGCCGCGACCGCACCCATTTGGTTCAAACAGCTCTCGTCCGCCAGGAACAAGAATGAGTCAACCAACTGGCTTATGGAAGCCGCGTCCGAATAGGTCAACGCGGAAGTTGGGATGCTAAAAGTAAGCATCTCAGTCTCCTCATCCAAGACCATGGTCTTGGATGACCCAGCTCTGGCTGCAGGTTGACGACTAGGTATAGTCGCCACCACATCCTTCGCACTCCTCTCCTCTCTGGCCGAGGAGTCTCTCTTCTGCTTCTCGCGACATCTCGCAATAGACTCACTCGTGCTTAGGACGGTCAACTTCTTCATTAGCTTACCTGCAATTGTAAACTCTTCAACAATTAGAGCATTCAGCCTCGACTTACTGTACAAAATATGATTGCAGTAGCGAGTTAGCAGCACACTCCAGGTTTGCTTTAGCGAAAAGAAGGGGATACCTCGCTGGATCGCATCCACTCTAGCCCAAAGATGACTCGTCCTTAGGTTTGCCTCATCAAACACAACCCGCCAATCTCTCTGCGCTTTTGGAATGGCGAGAATCTTTTGGGTCTGCACGTCTAAACCGTCCCTACTCTGTCCGATTCGGTTGAAGTCAAGAACTGCAAAGAAGAAACACAATAAGATTTTAGTAATCAAAATCCAAGGTAAAGATAAAGTTTCTCACCAGTCGCTCGCTAGGAGTATGGAATCTCGCCCTAGCCTCTCTCCCCAAAGATCGCCTCACTTCTCATGAAAAAGTACCGATCCTTCCAATTTTTTTCACTCGATCGGAGGTCGATCACGAGGTGAGCCCGATCATGCCTAAGGTTGATGAGGTATCGATATTTTTCCTTGTTGTTCTTCTTCAAGAAATATGAGTATAACAACTCATGCAGCCCAAACATCACCTGGTTCCACACACAGAGGTCCTCTAGAGCCATCAGTAACCTCCACCCGTTCGACATAAGCTGGGTCTGCGCGATCATGAAGTGGTTCAAGACCTCCCAGACAAGACGAGGGATAGGAAGCCTCAGCCCGTCGTGAAACCATTTCTCATAGGTGCCCACCCAACCTTTCGCCTCCCAATTGACCCACTCGTACGACCTTGGCGCCCTGATCTCGATAGACTCCGGAATGTGATACATCATCCGAATCCGTCATACATCATTGTCCTTCAACAAGGGCGGGTAATCCCTACTCAATATCTCGCTACCAGGCCGACTCGGCTCTTCCTCGGAGCCATTGCTGGTGGAGGGTGAACTCTTAGAATCACTAACTCTATCGGAGTCTTCCCCACTCCTCCCCTTGCCTTTCCAACTCATCATCACTCGGAGTGGCGCCACTCGGTCCAGGGGCAACCATGTTCACCCCAGTCGGTATACCGACTGGAACGCCCCCACATTCGGGCATCATCACCATGGTGGGAGCATTCTTATACTCATCTTCGACCTCTCCCTTAGCCCCACTCAAACCGCTCGACCTTGACCTTGATATCGAGCACTCTATCCACTTGCCTCGGGTGATCGACCTCTCTCAATTCAGAGCCTAACGCTGTTCTAAAGCCCCACTTGCCCTGGATCACCGACTAGCTACTTCTCAAAACAATAGTTCCCAACCGTGTTACCTTTGGCTCGGCCTGGGTGACCGAACACCTGCTTGACTTTGGGTTACCATACAAGTCTCTCATCATTCGGTCGGGAAGACCGGGCAACCTATGTAACCTAACCTTTCTCGACAGCCAAACTTACCACACACCTCTTCACTCGAATCGGTCAGGCAGACTGAGACGAGCTGAACCGAGACACCCCATAACTTGGTTTTGTCTTCTACCTCTATCAAAAATCCAAACACGTCTAAAACCAAACAAAATCCACTCAAATCACTCCTAATCTCTCCAGAAACCCAAATACAAAAACAACCCTGCTTCAACAAAAACTCAAACCACGGTAAAATTCAACAATCAGATCAGTTCCTTCACAACCGAACACAAGAAAAACCCGAAAATCTTTTTTTCCGGTTCATTTCTCTACACACCCAAAATCACCTTAAAACGACACAAAACCTATCCTAGAAACCAACCAAGAGTAATAACAAGTTCGAAAATAAAAAAAGAGCAGAAAAAAAGCAAAAGTTTACCGTGAAAATGGCCGGCATCCGCGAAAGAGAAACCACCACCACTGAGAAACTAGAACAGAAGAAGAAAATAGGAAGAAAGAGAAGCAAGACGCAAAACGAAGACGCATAGTCTTGCCCTCGATTTTATGGACGAAACCTGACAAAAGGGACACGTGGCGGCCTCACATTGGTTGTGGGACAGAGCAACCCTTCGATTTCCCTCCCAAAACACGTGTAGCGAATCTGCACACGCTTGGAAGACGCGAACACACTCACGTGCCACATATGGTCGTGCAGCTGACCCGACCAAGCTGGCGTACTCAAGCATACAAATTGTCCATTTCCAAAGGTCTAGCCAACACATTCTAGCACTTCACCCATTCAGGACGCCCCCCAGACCTAACAGCGAAGACAAGACGCGTTATCGCTGTCTTTGGGTCTCATGACAAGCATCGCGAAAAAATTGGAGCACCAAGCTACTCGGTCATCCTGGGCGGGCGAGCCAGTCATAACTGGGAAGTGCACACACCTCGTTCGGATTCGATTAGTCTGCCTTAGGCCCCACCACTAAATCGAGCCTAATGTGTTCTGCTCGGTTGGAAACACCAAGTGAGCACACCTTCATGAGGTAATTCGTGCACCCTCTCACTATACCCAATGCACCGAGTGAGAACATCTTCAAAGGACAGCTGACATACCTGCTCACTCGGCTCAATACACCGACTAACAACACCTTCAAAGGATAGCTGGCACACCCGCTCACTCAGCTCGATACACTAACTGACAACACCTTCAAAGGAAAGCTGGCACACTTGCTCACTCGGCTCGATACACCGACTGACAACACCTTCAAAAGATAGCTAGCACACCCGTTCATTCGGTTTGATACACCGACTGACGACACCTTCATGGGATAACTCACACACCCAACATTCGTCTTGATACACCGAGCGAGGACACCGCCATGGAGGGCTTCGCATATCTTCTCGCTCGGGAGGACATACCAAGTGAGGATATTTCAGGCAGATTCTTTCATGCTCTCACTCGACCTGGCATAGCAGGCGATTCTAATAAGATCAGCTCCATTCCCCCACTTGGTTAGATGCACCGAGAACGTTCGTGACTATGCTTCACCTCCATCTGCCCGGTATGGTGTACTGAACGATGCACTGACAACAAAAGCTATGCTATTTGTTCCTGGGAACGGAGAAGCAACACTTTTACAAGTTCAGCCGGTCGATCACGAAGGTCGACTAGATACACCTCCACGCAAT